AAGGAAGGAAGGAAGGAAGGAAGGAAGGAAGGAAGGAAGGAAGGAAGGAAGGGAGATTTAACCAGGTCCATCTTCTCAGGAGAAATCTGGTTAATTTGATTTTTTAGGACCACTAGATAAGACTAGTTAGATAGGACCACAGTAAGACTGGCTAGGGAATTTTGGGAGTTGAAGTCCACCCATCTTAAAGTTGCTGAGGTTGAGAAACACTGCTTTCCCATGTAAAAAAAATATGATCAAGATGTACATCTTTGACTATTTCTGTGGGTGCCTCCTTCCTCCTAGTATTACCTTTCACAACACACAATTCAATAGCACCAAACCAAATTTTTAAAGAAAATGTTTTTTTTGGGGGGGGGTTACGATACACAAGTGTGCAAATGAAGCATCACTTTTCAAATCATTTTCAGCAGCTGTGTCTTTACTACAGTTTGTATGACTGCTTCGGAAACGGCTCCTGGAAGATTTTGCAGATGTGGGCATGCAAACCTCCTTCCCTTCCTTCTTTCCTAGCAAAGATGTGGTTGTTTGAATAATTTAAAAGCAGCAGTTTTTCGTTTGCACTCCTCTGGCTTGCAAAGCCCTCCCCCTCCCTTTTTTTTTTCAAAAGGCTGTGCCCAACTCTGTTGTGTGGCGTGGGCTTGTGCACTGTATTCACGAAACACCTGACTATCTGTCATCCAAATGAAAACTCAGTCCTTTTGCTGAGTCTGATAAGAAAACGCTACGTAAACCATCACAAATGTCTTGTCATAGAAGCTTGATAATGACTATTAAAAGATTAGCAAAGAACTTAGTAAATCTCTTCTTACTTTAGCCTTCCTTTTGAATCTCAGATCGAAGGTGGCTGAAGACATACAGTATGTGTGCCTGATCTTTCCAAATGTCTTTCAGGGCTTCGGATTATTACATAATTCATTATCTTGCTTGGCCCCAAACTAGAGGCAACTTTTCCTGTTTCAATTTCAGTGGTCAGGCAATGAATCAGAATCAGAATGGAACTGGAAGGGACCTCGGAGGTCTTCTAGTCCAGCTCCCTGCTCAAGTAGGAGATCCTATACCATTTCATACAAGTGACTGTCTAGACCAGAGGTCTTCAAACTTGGTAGCTTTAAGACTTGTGGACTTCAACTCCCAGAATTCTTTAGCCAGCATAGCTGGCTGGAGAATTCTGGGAGTTGAAGTCTACAAGTTGCCAAGTTTGAAGATCTCTGGTCTAGACTCTTCTTAAAAACCTCCAGTGAGGAAGCACTCACACCTTCTGAAGGCAAGCTGTTCCACTGGTTAATTGTCCTCACTGTTAGGAACTTTCTCCTTAATTCCAGGTTGCTTCTCTCCTTGATTAGTTTCCATCCATTGTTTCTTGTCTTGCCCTCTGGTGCTTTGGAAAATAAATTGACCCTCTCTTCTTTGTGGCAACCCCTCAAATACTGGAATACTACTATCATGTCCCACCCCCACCCAGTCTTTCTTTTCTCTAGACTAGCCAAACCCAAATCCTGCAACTGTCCTTCCTATGTTTTACTCTCCAGGCCTTTTATCATCTTCGTTGCTCTTCTTTGTACTTTTTCCAAAATCTCAACATGTTTTTTGTGATTTGGTGACCAAAACTGGATGTAGTATTCCAAGTGTGGCTTTACTAAGGATTTATAAAGTGGTACTAATACTTCAGGCTTGGGATACAGGTTTCGTTTGTATGTATATGCGTTTGTGTGTGTTTTAGACCAGAATAATTAGACCATAATGAATTGAAGAATAACAGCTACACTTCCTGGAAAGAGGCTAGTGTGGGTATTACAACGGCCGGTAATTAATCCAAAAAAGATTACGATACTTTTATCCAGCCCGGTGGCCTCCAAATGTGCTAGACCAGGGGTCTCCAACTTTGGCAACTTTAAGCCTGGAGGACTTCAACTTCCAGAATTCTGACAGTACTCTATGTAGTCTACAGTCTACATGGGGATCCTGGGATTTGTCACTGAACACATCTGGAGCACTCCATGGGGGGGGGAGGGGTTGTGAGGGAAGGGCTTTAGGGATTACTTCACTTCAGTGTAAGGAGAGGATACAGGTGGGGTGAGAAAGACATGAGGCTGAGATCAGTAAAATAGCAAATAGCAAAATCCAGTGCAAGGCAACTACATGAGACGGAATGGGGCAAAACTGTTCTGAGACCAAGTTCCCCATTAGTTAAGAGGCAACTTGTAGCAGGATGCTGACCTTTTCCTGTAAAGTATTGTCATCTGCAAGTTGTAACCTCATGCCATTAATTATAACCTAGCATATCTCTAGAGTGTTTCTGGTCTATTTCTC